TCAGGTATTATTGTGTTCGGTGCCCTGACCTCTATATGGACTGGCCTGTGTGACTTAATGAGGCATAATGAGGCGATTTGATTTGTGCCATTTTGGCGCTGACAACAGAAGTGAACGTCCACGAAACTAATAATAGAAATAAGACAGTGTGATAAAATATATCGATAAAAACTCTATACACTACCTATACCTAAATAAATAGAACGGACGTCAAGGGTCGGCCTCTACCCGTTACGTCCATTCTATTTATGTGTCATTAATATAATACTATCATCATTCATCATCATTACAGCCCTTCACAAGTCCACTGCTGAACATAGGCCTTCCCCAAGGTATGCCACAAAGCACGGTCCTGAGTCACCTGCATCCATCGACTTCCTGCATGTCTTACCAGGTTGTCACTCCATCTAGTGGGGGAACGTCCTATACTTTGCCTGTCGGTAGGAGGCTGCCACTCTAGGCTATATGGTCGGTCCATTACCAGTTCAGCTGCTTACTAATCCGTTGGGCTATGTCGGTCACTCTGGTTCTACTTCAGACATCCTCATTTCTAAGTTCATCACACGGAAAAACCCCGAGCATAGCCCTCTCCACAGCTTGCTGAGCGATTTTGAGCTTCTTCATACGACTAGCAGTGAAGGACCACGTCTGAGGAAAGTCAAATGGCGCATCGCAAATCGCCATACTCCTTTTCCCTTGCGACTCCACCTCGACTGCAGCAGTACTGAGAGGAATCTCCTATAGCCACAGCCCACGAATACACATCCAAGGTCTCGACAAGCCCTCTGAGCAAGCTCACGCGAACTCACTAAGGACATAAATAATTTTGCAGTCTCAATATAAATTTAGTCCCTTGATATAATAAATTGGTAATATTTAAACAGATTTAAAAAATTTACGCCTTTTAAACTCAAAGTCATCATCAGTCGACCTTCCTACACTTGGCTATGGTTTAGGAGAAAATGAGAAGAGAAGAAATAAAAACATTCGAAATAATAATTTAATACTTTTATACTTACTGGTACTGGTACTAACAGAAAATATTGTCGGTATACTGCCCTTTTTCAAAGTGATGCGTTTCTCATGTCTAATAATAATAAAACAGTCGTCTGTGAAATGTTTAAAGATGATCATTTTGTTTCGTTATACCAATTCACAATATGTATGCATTTAAGCCATAATTTTAGTCTAGGTTCAGATAGAAACCTGTTAATTAATAAACATTTGATAATTAGTCGGCTACTTTATTTGATAACAGAGATATGGGTAGGAAAAAACATCGATAAGTATTATAGATAAGTAACTCGACAACCCTATTGATTTTATTGTTTATCAAATCTCAGTAATATAAAGCCAAACATGTTGGTAATTTTACTTACGCTGTTAAGATTAATAATTTTTTTTCAAGTACAGCTATATTATCAAATAGTTTTAAATTGTTTAACATTAGCTGTAAATTCACTTACTTGTGGAATGTTATACTACTTTCCTTTTGGTAAAGAGTTTTACATATTACGCACACTGTCCGGATACCGGTATGCGCTATCTATTGCGACATGACTCAGGCTTTTGATTATGTTGACCATGACATTCTGCTCAGTAAATTAGAAGCCTAAGGCATCAGAGGAATGTATTAAATCTCATGGAATCCTATCTTAAAAAATCGAACACAATATACCGAAATTTCTAGAACAAATATTAACACCAAAAAAGAAGAAATATGCATATCAAACAAACAAATAGTTAAATACGGTGTCCCACAAGGGAGTGTGTTAGGTCCTTTGTTGTTCATCATCTACATAAATGATTTACCAAAAATTACAAAATACCCAATATCGCTATTTGCCGATGACAGTACTGTAACAATAAACTCTATCAATAAGGATAAATTTGAAAGTGAAATTAATAATACAATTAATTTAATAATAAACTGGTTAAATAATAATAATTTAAAAATTAATCTTCAAAAAACTAAAATTATGTTCTTCAGTCAACGATTAGCAACACCAAATATTAACGTTAATTACCAAGGGACATAAATCAACCAAGTAGATACAAAAAAAATTCTAGGTGTAACCATCGATAAAAGTTTGAACTGGAAAGCGCATTTAAATTTTTTTTATATTAAATAGGATATTATTTAATTTAGTATAAACTCTCATCCGTCGTAAGTACCGATGCGCTTCTCACGGCTTACCATGGTATTGTTGATTCCATCTTGAGGTTTGGCATCATATTCTGGGGAAATTCTACTAATAAGGAAATTATATTTAAGTCCCAAAAAAGGTGCATCAGAGCTATGTTCGGTCTTAAAATTACTGATAGCTGCAAATCATATTTCATCGAGCACAACATTTTGAGCTTACCCTCCTTATTAATTATATATGAAGTTGCAAACTTCGTTCAAAGTAACCCTAAATTGTTTAACAAACTATCGGACGTTACAATTCGCAATCGCAGGGATAATAATACCCCCCCCCCCCCGAACGGGTTCCCGCCTTATCGTGGCTTAGAAGCCGTGGCTTGGTCACCCACGGCGAAACAAAGAGGAACCCATATGGCTGGTCCGAGGTGGAGGGCCGGCCCGAGGTGGCCACTCCGAGTGGGCTTGGGAAGCCCACTTCGGATGTGTGTTGGTGGACTGCGGTGAGAGGTGTGTCCTCCCCACCTACCGCTGCAGCCGAGGTGGAGTCGCGGAGGAAGAGGAGTGTTGGTATGGCGATGCGCCACTCGCCCTATCCTCCGCGACTCAAACGGGGCCGCACCGTTGATGCGGTGGTGATGGGGCTGCGGGGGGAGAGGATTGTCGGTATTGCGAGGCACCGCTCTCCCTATCCTCCGCAGCCGAATCTTGGTTGGCGGCGGAGCCATAGACCAGATCCGCCGCTGGGGTCGGGAAGGCTAGTACTTCTAAGTGCTCGTTTTTCCTGGCCCTATGGCCTTCGCGCATCGGACGCGGGGGCGTCTGTTGCGCAGATGTAATTGGAGGCCGTGGAGGAAGGCGTGCCATGTGTTCTGGTGCGCCTTACTTGGAAAGGAGAACGGGGAGGAATATTCCTCTCCCGATGAGGTGCTGCCATGGGGCGGCAGTCGCTGGTGGGGCCGCGGAAGTGTGCGAAAGCGTTCCCGTAGCCCTGCCAATATGCGACGAAGGTGGAACACCATGGGGTTTTAGTCGGTGCGAGTCCGACATAACCCGTCCTTGCCCCCGCGAGGCGGGTATGCGTAGGCATTTCCCCATGTTAAAAAAAAGGGATAATAATAGGTTATGCGCAGTTGGTTCAAGAACAGCATTGATGCATAAAAGTATTTTCTGTCTGGCGCCAATAATATATAATAAAATCCTTAAACATATTAAACAATTGCCTACTACTTTTTAAAAAATATTTGATAGCCAAATGTTATTACAGCTTGCCTGATTTCTTAAGTGATTGATTTTTCTTAAGCTAAATAATGAATTTCGACATTTTTCTAATGCAATTTTACGAGATGCCATTGAAATTGTTGCACATCTAAAATTATGAACGTAGTGTTAGTTAATTTGTCTTGTAGAATAATTAATATATGTAGTATAATTTTTGTACGCCATAAATGGCAAAACATGTAGCTCGTTTTAAGTTTTTTAACACCTGTATTTTTTACTCATGTTTTACAAAATAAATATCTTTATCTGTCATTATTATTAAAAATAATTTTTATTATACTATATAATAAAAATTATTTCTATATAATATATAACTAATACCACATAAAAGACTATCGTTTTTTAGTTTAAAAGTTCAAAATACAGAGATACGATTTAAATAAGACATAGACAGCATATTGTCAATACTAGTTCCCGCTACTGAAAATGGTGGCGCTTCAAATCGGCACAGACATTTTGTATGTGGTATATACAGTCCAGCGTACTTGTGTATATAGAGGTCAGTGGTTCGGTTTTTTATGTAATTTATCGAAGTGTTTACGATGCCCTATAGTACAAGTCGAGAAATAATGTTTAAGGTGAAGAACTTTTGTTAAACAGAAAAGCGAATGATTGATTTTTTGAATGAAACGTACATTCACAACACATATCATAGCAAAAAATGTTAACAAAGTGAAAAGGAGCCAGGGTTTTTCGTTTCGGAGTCTGTAGGGAGTAGGTACATAATTGCTCATGCTGCATCCTAATTTTTAAATCCTATTCGAAGTCATCATATTATCATGATAACATGAACTTTGGTAATTATTGAAGTGGATGACTGAAAAAGTAATACCAAACTTGCCCGAAAAGTCCCTCGTGGCTATGGACAATGCTCCATACCACTGCACACAACTGTACAAAGCGCCAACAATGGTAAATTTGAAATCAGAAATGCAAAACTGGTTGCGTGAGAAAAAATTTGTTTTGAAGAGACACGGGCAAAGGCCCTTTTGTTTGAATTAATAAAACAAAATAAAGGACAACCACTTATGCCGTGGATGAACTATTGCGAAGCTACAACCACGAAGTTTTGGAACTACCGCCATATCACTGCGATCTAAACCCCATTAAAAATATGGAGCATAGATGTTTAGATATATAGACAATTTTGTTCCTATTTTAGGACTCTCTCTATGCTAGTAATTACTCTGAGGTCTTGACAAAGTATCTTCCAAATAAGAGAAATGACACTTCTTGTCAAAACGGCGGAGATAAGCAAACATGTGGTTTTCTTGTCTTTGCTGTTTTGACAAGAAGACAATGCAATTTTTAATTTTACTAACGTTATCTTTTTTATTGTGTTCATAGAAGGTGGTAAACGAAGTCCCATGAATTAAAGCACGGATGTGTCAAATATGCCACCATCTACGTGACAAATGAAGACTGAACTTTCCACATTTGACCCGCCGTTTATACTAATATATTAATAATTAGAAATTGTTTTATTAATTTTCTCATGGTCCTGGATCATATTGGAGCTCGAAAAATCATCAGTTGTTTAAGAATAATGAAATTCTTATGTCTCATCGGGCCACTGTCAATCTCTCTTTAAAACCATCATCGGCGAGTGTATCTTGAAAGCTGTCACTAACTCCTGTAAATAGAAAAATAGACAATTTAATGCATAAAGAGTAAGAAGACGGGAATGCGACGAACTGGAAAATATAACATATCTAGTCTAATATTCAAAGTTTTTTTTTTATAGAATACGCGTGACAAACGAGCACACAGTCCAATTGATGGTAAGTGGATGCTGTGGCTCATAGACATTCATCCTCGATTAAGAATCAAAACGCAGATGCGTTGACACCTATGAAGACCAAGATGGAATGCTTCGTTTCCAGTAAAAAAGGGTTTCCGGATCTCTACACTCACTATACGAAACAGTAGTATTAAGCTGCTATTTTACGCTGGTATTCTGTGAGAGCGTGGTCCTTCCCCGGTCGAGCCGACCCATTTGTGCTACAACCAAAATATAGCTGCAGCGTGACTCTTCCACGTATAAATTCAAATTATCATGTATTATTATTCAAAGTAAAATATTTTTATTCAAAACTAACTAGATACCCGGCACGTAGCAGCCGTCGATGATATAATTGTGGAAATATCGTTAAAAATTTGGAAAAGTTATATTGTTTAATTAGGAATGACAATAGATTCGTTGAAGTTGTAAAAAAAGTAAAAAGTAAAGTTAAAGCCTATATACGTCCCAGTGCTGGGCACAGGCCTCCTCTCATTTCTGAGAGGGTTTTAGGGCAAGGAATTGCCCGCCGCGCAGCCCCAATGCGTGTTGCCGAACTTCACATGTCTTCGAAATATGTTTTTTTTTATTTCCCAGACATGCAGGTTTTACTCACGATGTTTTCCTTCACCGCCGAGCACGTGGTAAATCAGCACTTAAAATTGCAATTAACAATTTCATTGGTGCCGGCGGGGATCGAACCCGGTTGGCTCGCGTATTGTGAAATTTACAGTGAGCGCTAACCATCTTACCTACCACGGCTCATTCAGAGCATTAAAGTTGAATGATAAATAATTTTGAAATAAATTTGTCGATACGATAAGCGCAACATCTAATGTAAATTAATTGTACTATGCGTATAACCTTCACGCAAGAGCAAGCAATAATTTGACAAAGTTTTACCGCAATCTGATGAACGGTAAGGCAGTGCATAAAATACGAACAAACAAAACAAACATTAGTTTTTATATATTAGTTTGGATTTTATAGAGTAAAATGCTACTCTATCGCTTCCACAGGTCCCTACTGCGTGAAGAACTTGTGAGAGCCTTGCGAGAACAAGCGGCAAAAAACTCAAAAGAATATTTTTCTGGCAACATTTACAATTTAACCTTAATATATATATATATATATATATATATATATATATATATATATATATATATTTAAAAAGGCTAAAGGTCATTACTGCGACCGACATTCACCTATCAAATACAAATAAAAATGTATGGCTAATAAATAGTTAATGAGATAAAATAGATGGGGAGACTTTTACGTGGTAGGGCCACGCTGCAGCTCTATTATAGTTGAAGCACGATAGGCTCGGCTAAACCGAGGTAGGACCACACTCACAGGATACTAGCGTAAAATAGCAATGAATGAAACATCTTATATATTTTTTAACATTTAAACTATTTATTAATAACAATAATCGACTAATTTAAATGAATTAACAGAACAAAAAGAAATGTAGTGTATAATCAATCAACGTATAATGTTATTTATATAATAATAACGGTTAATAATTTTTAAAATAAATAGATGCGCCGATAAGTCACTTATATTATGTTGCTGCACCCATATATATAATAGTTTAGTTACAAAAAAGAAAAATTACAAAATCTGGACCCGATATGTGACGCTGTCAATTCAATCAATTATTAATTATCAATTTTTAGTGTTAAAATGAAATAAAGGGGACAATTCCTTTTTGTATGGAGAATGTGCCCAACATAAATAGTGGCGTAGCTTAATAAAATGCATATTGATTTATTCCTTATAATCTATAGATTACAATAGCAATATTAGTTTCACCGCGTCTAACAGGAATACTGAGGAATTAACAATTATAACAATTATATAAATATTACAATAACCTAAAAACAAAGTCAAAGCGATTGTCTAGTAGCTTTCACCGGCACTATAAGTTAAAATATTCTACTGTTCATTCAAAGTTTATAGGTATTTTATGATTGATGGAAAATCCTATTAGTAGTGTAGCGGCGCTGTCGTCGCGCCACTAGCACACCGAAACACACCGAAGCCTAAATCGCGCTATTAACATTCCGAATCATAGACAGTATATACAGAACTTCTCCGAACTATTACTTGGAGTGTTGGCCACTCCCCAGGCAGAACACCTTGTCCGGCGGGAGATCTCCCCTTTTCCTTCCACGGCCACAGTAGTGCCGGAAAAACAGTGCACAGAAAAATAAACGTGGTGTAGAAACTATTTTTTACATGTATTGATCCTTTAGTGAGTATTTCTCGTACTAGTTAGTATTCATGTAGTATTTTATTACATTATTCCACGATTCCGTTTAGATTTTCATGAAATCTTTAGGCCGTTTACTATAATAAACTGGTATTTTTTTCTATACAATAACCATTAAGTTTAGTTAAAATTTCTAGTGGGCCTAAAAACGATTGTCTCCTTTTAAGTTTACACTAAAAATCCGGAGGGAATCCGAAATCATCACGCCACCTACGGGTCTAGTGGAAGTAAACGCGGCTACTATACTATATACTTATTATAAGATCCCAGAGATTCGAATCCCAGATCGGGTCAAAATCAGCTATAGGATTTTTCTTCCAAGAAATTCTCAATATCAGTTCGGAGGCAGGATATTGGCGGTGTCTCACCAACGTGCCTCGAAAGGCATGTAAAGCTGTTGGTCCTACGCCTGATCTCTCTCCGGTAGTGTCGAATAAACAACCCCTCGGACTATGAGGTGAGGGAATAGATATTGCACCTGTGCTTGCTGCACACTCGGGCACTGTAATCCTGTTTTGGATGGCTAGTCTCCATTGAAGCCGGCCGCTGTCATCGAAATTAGTTTGGAGCACATTATTATTATTATTACTTTACTAAAAAGGGTCATATGAATCGACTAATGCAAATTATAGTCTCTAATTATCTAATAAATGTATTAATGTTAATACTCACTTTCCACCTCGCCATATCTATGGAGACGATAAACTGGTTCTCACCAGCGGCGTTACGCTCCTCACGTTGCGAGGATGGGACTGGCTTGATGAATGGTAGACCGCGCTCCTCATCTAAAAGTCAAAAAACATTTATTGCATTCATGATTAAACATAAGATAGTATGTGGTAGAAGAGAATAGTAGTATTCCAAAATATAAATATGAATCATTGTTATAGCTTGTAAATTAATTGTTAGACCTGAGAAAGATCTTTTAAATTAATTTCCCGTTTTTTTATAGGATAGTGTGACAAACGCGCACACAGTCCACCTGATGGTAAGTGGTTACTGCGGCCCATAGACATCTACATCTATCCTCGATTACAAATCAAAATAAAGATGCGTTGTCACCCGTGAGGACTAAGATGGAATTCCTTGTTTCCAGTAAAAAGGGTCTTCGCTTCTCTACACTCACCATACGAAACACAGCAGCATTAAGCTGTGTTCCTGACGTCACAGCCTTTCGTACTCCTCTCCGGGCAGCGAGAGTCAAACCGGTTCTGCGAGCCCCACCACCATCGTGGACACTACTACGCAGGCCTCTTGCTCGAAACCACCCGGTCGCGAACGCACGCAAAACGGCTACTCTTATAATATATTGTATCAGAGCCCATTAAATCACTTATACAGTGTACATATCGAAAGTATTTATTTTAATTCGAGAATTTCAACAGCACTAGTGGAGCTCGATACTCAACAAGCTGCTATTTTACGCTGGCAGAATGAGAGCATGGTCCTTCCCGGTCGAGCTGACCCATTTCTGATACAATCATTAAAAAAAAGTCTACAACCACTTCATTATCAAACATGTGCCTCTATCAGGGATACAAAGTTTTCTCTTCACATATTCAAACTAACTAACACATTAGATTGAATTTTACAAAACAAAAATTCTATAAATTTTTTTAACTGTGTGAAATATGAAATCTCACCAACATCGATGGCGACCATACCGTCGCGCACAAGAAACGACACGTAATATATGTTCTCGACCGTGCGGGCGAAAGAGTCGGGGTCCAGTACTAAGCGGAAATAGGACAGCGGTCCGTTCCGGCACGCCTTCGAGATAAAGCGGTACACGCGGCTCACCATCTCCGAACCTTCCTCTGTTTGTTCTAGTCTGTAAATGTTTTACAGTCGCTATAATATCCGAACAATTTTATTAATGGCTTGTAAGAAACACATTGACATCACACATAATATATATAAAGAGAGGGATAGAGAGAGAGGAGTGCAGAAAGCTAAAATTTGTTTATAATATTTGTTACAAATACCTTAAATTTGATAAAATAAAACTTTCATTTGTTTTGTTCATACTATGAATATCAAACACATAATAGTCTGTGTCCATACATTCAACAGAGTAGAGATTGGCACCAAAGAAATTAAAAATTTTGCTAACAAATAATCACAAGTAATATTTATTCCTGTGTGCTTTTATATATTCCTTTTTCATGTCTGTGAAGTGCACATATGTCAAGGCAAAAAGCCATTTACCTTTATATTTTGTCTATGGAATATCCGTGTTAATGTGTAGTTGAAAGTTGCAATACTTTTTTTTTCTTTCTTTACAGCCCTTCACAAGTCCACTGCTGAATATAGGCCTCCCCCAAGTAATGCCACAAAGCACGGTCCTGAGCCACCTGCATCCATCGACTTCCTGCATGTCTTACCAGGTCGTCACTCCATCTAGTGGGGGGTCGCCCTACACTACGCCTACCGGTATGAGGCTGCCACTCGAGAACCTTTCTTCCCCATCGGTTATCGGTTCTTCGAGCTATATGGCCGGCCCATTGCCACTTCAGCTTACTAATTCGTTGGGCTATGTCGGTCACTCTGGTTTTACTGCGGATATCCTCATTTCTGAGTCTATCACGCAGAGAAACTCCGAGCATAGCCCTCTCCATAGCTCGCTGAGCGACTTCGAGCTTCCTCATACAGCTAGCAGTGAAAGACCTCGTCTCAGATCCATAGGTCATCACTGGCAACACGCACTGGTTGTACAATCTAGTTTTGAGGTATTCCTGACGAGAAGATGTGTTGTAATCTCCCGAACACTGCCCAGCCGAGTTAAATCCGTCGATTGACCTCTCGGTCGAAGTTGGACTTACCTAGTCGGACTATTTGTCCCAAGTAAAAATACTCGTCAACAACTTCAGCTAAGTGCTCCCAAAAACCACCGGCATAGGTGTGACATGGACATTACATATGACTTTTGTTTTGTCCATGTTCATCTTAAGACCTATCCGTTGGGAGACACCATTGAGGTCATTGAGCATAGTGCTAAGGTCCTCCAGCAATTCTGCCATAAGGACTATACCGTCGGCAAATCGAAGGTGAGTGATGTACTCGCCATTGATGTTAATAACGTATCCTTTCCAGTCCAGTAGCTTGAAAACGTAACGTAACGTATATTAACAATACTTACACATATACATATACATTACGCAAAATAAAAAAATATTTAATCTATAATCCCCTGATTTGTTTACCTCTGTCGCCTCTCCTCCTCCTCGACACCCACCAGATATGGGCTAGAGGATATTCCTACCTACACAATACCGCCCCCACTCGGTACTGTGATCAAATGAAAAGACTACAAGCACATCACCCCTGACTTTTATCTACTTGAACAAACACCTAGGCAGCAAAGTAGGACTATTATTAATCCATTCATCTGTAGCCTTTATGATGCGGACGGCGAGTAGATTATCGTCCGTCGCCCCGCACCGCACCCACGTCGACACGTCCCACGCGCCACGCATTAGAACATGGGCCCCGCGAGGACATACGCTCTCACCAACTCGGTGCCTACGACGCACCGTCTGATACAATATAAGAAGCGCCTCTGGCGCGACTTCGGCATTCGAGCGATAGCAAGCGGCCAAATCGGAACGAACAAGCAAGCAAGAAGCCCTCAACATCATAGGCATGATAGGTTTAGTGATAACTGCCGCATGAATAATTGCTGTAAATAGTTGTAAATATAGTGATTCATTTTTAACTGCTTTAATTTCAACTCAACCTTATTTAGTCAGACAGATGTCACAGGATTAGGCTCAGTAATAGTCAGTTTAAATTCATTTCCATTTGCAATAATGGTAATCCCCAGCGTACATAGAAGAATAAATAAATATGCAGTCCACTTTGCTCTCATCCCCTACACTTTATTTATTTCTTGCATATTTTTACAGAAATATATCACACAATCACAAAATAATATAAATCACAAAATCGATAAAACAAAACGGTGATTTACCATCTAGACTTAATCACCACTTACCACCAGGTGGGATTCAAGTCAAGCACTGTAATAAGTTGACTGCCTCGCTGGCCTAGTGGCCGTAAACACGATTACAGAGCAAGAGGTCCCGGGTTCGAACTTAATTATTACCAAACTGAACCGTGCACATTTCACCTTACACTATAAATCTGATCAAGACTTACTTATCGACAGTCTTTGGTGCTTTTAACGCAGCTGTCTGCTGTTTCTCGACTCTCTTCCTAGGCTTGCGCGCTCGCTGCTCGGGAGGCGTGGGCGCGAAGGTGCCGAACAAGCTCGACACTACAGGCACTTCTCGGGGAAAGACCAATTCCCAGAACTCTGGGTTCTCCCTCTGGAAGAACAATACATATGCCTCATTATTTGAAAGTGGGAACGGGTCGCACTTTGCTAAGCGATACGAGGTTGCCACTCTAGAACCTTTATTCCCTATTGTTTTTTTATATATATATCATAGGGTGACAAACGAGCACACAGTCCACCTGATGGTAAGTGGTTGCTGTGACCCATAGACATCTACATATATCCTCGATTACGAATCAAAACGCAGATGCGTTGTCACCCGTGAGGACTAAGATGGAATGCCTCGTTTCCAGTTAAAAGTAAGTTTTCAGGTCTCCGCTTCTCTACACTCACCACACGAAACTCAGCAGCATTAAGCTACTATTTTACGCTGGTATTCTGTGAGAGCGTGGTCCTTCCCCGGTCGAAACGACCCATTCGTACTACAACTATACAAATTATATAACTGCAGCATGGACATAGAGAAACCGGTTGCCAGTTGTTCAAGCTATGTGGCCGGTCCACTGCCATTTCAGTTTACTAATCTATTGGGCTATATCAGTTCTACATGTATATCCTCATTTAGAGGTCTATCATGTAGAGAAACTCAGAGAATAACACTCTCCATTGCTTGCTAAGCGGACCTTGAGCGTCCCCTCAATCTCCCCACTAGATGGAGCTGGTAAGATATAAAAACATGAAGTTGGTGAATGCAAGTGTAGTTTAGAACCATATTTTGTAGCAATTTTAGGGGGAATTCTATGCTCAGTAATAGACATGTGAAATTTTGCATTGACAATATTGTTACTTAGTGTAGGCGATTATGGTAAAGATAAAGATAAAGATAAAGATATTTTATTTTGCAAATATGGGTACAGTACATGGAAATATAGGTAGTGAGTTCAGCCATATTTTACCAGTAGGCATGCAAAATATACAGAAATATAAACTAATCACCTAAACAGCTATAACAAAATAAAATAATAGCACAAAAACAAACATAATTTAAAATTTTCAACATTATACAGTCTTAATCTCAAAATGAAAAATTTTTTTCAGTCAAATATTCTGTTACGCTATAGTATGCTTTGACTGTCAAGAAGCTACGAAGCCTTTTTTTTAAATATCGATAGCGGCAATTCTTTCCAACTTTTTGGTCAAGAAATAAAAATTTATGTGTCGAAAATGTATTTACTTGCAGATTAAAATTATAACAATAATGGTTGTGCGTTCTAGTAATGCGTGATTGTAAGTGCCCGAGCGCCGTCGTTGGTAGCGGTCACCGCTGCCTTCCCCGCCCCGCGCATCTGCTTCGCTATTGGCGAAGACACTTAGTTCTGCCATTCGATACTAGATGGCGCTAGTGGGAGAGTTCTAGAGAGATCTTGACGCTCCTCATTCTGCTGCTTGATACCAGATGGCGCTAATAATCAGCCGCCACATACCAGGCGCTATTTATAGCGCGCAACAATATGATTTTTCACAAAGGAAAAAATACATACGTCAATTTCTTCGTTTTTTTCAGGGTTGGCTGACGGAAAAGATAAAGAAAAATAATTATCACTCACAATATGAGTCGCGAGCTCATGTTTGTCGTACGTGTTGACATTGCCACTGACGGCTTCAGAACAACGCAAAGCTAGGTCACTGGTAGCGCGCAATACCCGGGAGTCCAAGTAGCCCTCACCTGGATATTAAATATAAGCATTCATTATCATTACAGCATATCACAAGTCCCCTGGTGAACCTCACCAAAGGAATGCCAAGGGAATTTATAAAATATATCTCAAAAAACTAAAAAAACGCCCGAAACATAGGTAATGATTTTCAAACAGCTGAAAAAGTTTTCTTGAATCATAAGCTAAGAACACATTATCACGTCACCTGTCAAACAAAACAAAAAATAAAACTAAATTGGTTCATCCATTTGATGCTATGATGTCACAGACAGACACGCAGAAACATAGATACACACGTTAAACATATAAAACCCATTTCCTTGCATTGGGGGTTAAAAACAGCGATTACCAATTGCCTGCCAAGTGTAGCGATTATTTCAAACCCCCCATTGAGTAACGAAAAAAATAATATAAGGAAAGAAGTAATTCAGAACTCTGCGTTCTCCCTCTGGAAGAACAATACATATGCCTCATTATTTGAAAGTGGGAACGGGCCGCACTTTGCTAAGCGATACGAGGTTGCCACTCTAGAACCTTTATTCCCTATCGTTTTTTTATATATATGTTAGGGTGACAAACGAGCACACAGTCCACCTGATGGTAAGTTGTTGTTGTGGTCCCTAGACATCTATCCTCGATTACAAGTCAAAATGCAAATGCGTTGTCACCCGTGAGGACTAAGATGGAATGCCTCGTTTCCAGTAAAAAGGGTCTCCGGTTCTCTACACTCACCATACGAAACACAGCGGCATTAAGCTACTATTTTACGTCGGTATTCTGTGAGAGTGTGGTCCTTTTCCCGGTCGAGCCGATCTGTTCATACTACAACTATACTACTAATATAACTGCAGCATGGCTCTACCACGTAATTCAGTAATAGTACATGAAGTAATAAGCAGTGACACCTTGTTAACACAGGTAAATTTCAGTTTGATCACAATGGATGGAAAGGCCAGATTACGTAGAGAACTATGTATGTATGTGTCGATTTCTTTGACACGCTCTGTAGCCTAAATGACTTGATGGATTCAACACATGTGGTGTCATCACTTGTAGGAGTGACATAGGTTATAACACCTTTCTCTTTTTAATAAACCTTTAACGCTTTCGGCTTTTTTAGTTAGTTTTAACCTTTAGACTTGTATAAGTATAAAACTATAAAGTTTTTATTAATGTTACGAGCTTAAGGTTCGTGACAATAAAAACAACCGATTGAATTACCAAAATTTACACTTTTATTAGAGAACACCAATTAAAACTTAAATCACACTAATAATTAATCACACTTAACACTTTAGTTCACTTTATTTCACTCCGAAAGCTTTACTCGTATCGCCAATTTAATACTGCCCCGGTCGCGGCTCTCAGCGGCTTTAAATACGCAATTTCAACCGAAACATCCAGAATGTCCCAGCAAATACCGGTCCCGACCGACTAAGTGCAGAAAGTTCGAAAGAGGACTTTTCTAGAAGGTTTAATTTTTCTATTTGTTACTAGATGGCGCTTTTTGGAGAATTCCAGAAAGATCTTGGCACTCCTGTTTCTGATACTTGATACCAGATGGCGCTAGTGCCATCAACTGTGGCACGCAATATTAATAACAATAAAAATTATAATTCTAAAGGATAAATTACCTGGATGTTTCACACGTTCCTCCACACCACCTTCAGCAAGCAAACTTTGTACTTCTTTAACAGCACCCGCAGTGCGTTCCACTTGTTGTTCATCATTGGCTTCTTCTGTAATTTTTATAGTAAATTTAATTAATATCTTAAAGTAATTTTTTTCGGTATATTTAATTTCCGCCTTTTCTCCTTGCAGTCTTCTATACAATGCAATGAAAGTTTAGTTAGTTTTAAAGAATGAAAGACGAAAGGGTAACAAAGAAAATGTATGTTGCGGAAGTGAACGGCAGACTCGGAAAGGTACGTCCTAAGCGAAAGTTTATTGACCAAATTGGCGATATATTGAAAATGGGCTAAATTACAATTACCCTTAACCTTATGCGACAGGTATGCGTAGGTATATAGATGTAGAGAGGTGTGTCAGGATCGTGCCAAATAGAAGCCTGTAGTCTCTGCCTACCCCTCTGAGTAAGAAGTGTGTGTTTATGTTATGTATGATGAAAAAGTTATGCTTAGCGTGAAAAGGGAAATTTATCTTTTAATAGAATAAGGGTGTTAAACAAACACAGTACACCCGATGACATCTACATTTATCCTCGATTAAGAATCAAAACGCAGATGCGTTGTCACCCCTGAGGATTACGATGGAACGCCTCGTTTCTAGTAAAAAAGGGTCTCCAGATCTCTACACTCACCATAAGAAACACAGCAGTATTAAGCTGCTATTTTACGCTGTTTTTTTGGAGTGTGGTCTTTCCCTGGTCCAGCCGACCCATTCGAGCGACAACCATAATATAGCTGCGATGTGGCTCTACCATGTAACCTTCAAACAACTTTGTGCATCAGATTGAATCAAACACTTATCTATATTACGGGATTCTGCATCGTAGACTGCTTCCAGGAGAGCAATTGAATCTCCTGAAAAAACGGAGTACTCCATAGGACATTTAAAACTTAAAATACTTTAGGTTTTACAGTTCTACAGTTTCTGAGATGTTCTTTGCAATTAACTTAGAAAGGAATTCTTCAAGTACAGTTATGACATTGTTCATTAAAGCATCACTGCATTTAGATATGATACAAATAAGGGGACGGGAAGTGGAAGTGAGAAGTTTTTTGTTTTTTTTTTTATAGAAGAGGGGGCAAACGAGTGTGGCCGATGAAGGAAAAGGGGAGATCTCCCGCCGGGCAAGGTGTTCTGCCCGGGGAGCGGCCAACACTCCGTGTGATAATTCGGAGATGTTCTATATATACTGTTTATGATTCGGAATGTTGATAGCGCGATTTAGGCTTCGGTGTGTTTTCGCTTGTGGCGGCGACGACAGCGCCGCTACACGAGCATACCAGATATTCATCTGATGTTAAGTGACTACTGCAGCCCATGAACAATTCCTCAGAGCATTTCCCGTGATAGATGCGATAAAATACGCACTCGGTCGTCGACGATTCGAGCCGCTCTGTGCTGGATGCGGTCAAGTGGAAGGAGCTGGTTACTGGGGAGCCCCAGCCCAGAGATGGGAACCATCACCTGTCAGGCGAGAAGCAAAAGTTCTATTAGATTATCATTAGGGGTACCAGTAGGGTCGGAGTCAATTAGAGCACATCCATCAGGCTGGGAAGAGGAAGGAGATCTAACTATAACATTATGACTGAAAATGTCATAAGATTAGCCATAGGATAGTATGGGTCTAGGACTTTTAGTTATTGTTTTTTTATAAGAAATTTTAGGAGATGAGGCAGTTTGGACTGGGAGACAAGTGGAAAGTCTATCAGGTGGAGAAGATTGTGAGGAAAGAAACTGGGTAGGGCTGCTGACTGCAACCTCAGCATAATTCTTTCTAGACACTGGCAATCTAAGAGAAACTTCAGTATAACTAATATAGTTTTCCGATATTACGATTTTTTGGCTGTCTCATATGTTCAGGGCAGATAAACACTCACGTCTGTCACCCATAGGGGTAGGCAGAGACTACAGACTTCCATTTGGCACGATCCTGACACACCTCTCTTGCCTCCTTCACATCCATACATCTACGCATACATGCTCGTCGGTTAAGGGTACTCCTAATTTGGCCAGTTTTCAATAAATCGCCAATTTGGTCGATAAATTTTCGCCTAGGACGTCCCTTTCCGACTCTTCAATTCACTTCTGCAACATAAATTTGTTTTGTCACTCTTTCCTCATTCGTTCTTTCTACATGACCAAACCACCGAAGCATTCCTTTCTTAATCCTGGTCACAACATCATCTTGCAAACCACACTCTTCTTCTTCAGGGTAGAATAGAATAGAATAGGATTTTTTTTATTCAATATAGATTACATGTTGTAATTTTTACTTTACCAGTGGTTCGAAAAAAAACCTCTGTCCTGGGAAGAACCAGCAGGAAACCCAGCGGGACTTTATTAAAAAAAAATTTTTACAATGTTAACTGGTCACAAAATATTTACAAAATTTATTTTATAAATAGCTTGGAAGCGACCACTTCATACGGACGGGTTATTATCAACCATGTATTCATTTATATCATAATAACCCTTTTTATATAGTTTTTGTTTAACTAAATATTTAAACTTGGTAATAGAGAGACCTTGTATATTGGCAATTGGGATTTTTATGTGACGGCTTTAATGTGGCCTCCATTATAGAGGAAACAAGTGATCTTATTTTCTTCTATTGAGCAAGTGTTTCCAATGTGATGCTGAGTGCAACAATAGCAGCGGGGCTTTGAACGACATTGGGCATGAACATGACCAAAGCGACAGCAATTACGTCATTGATTTGTAGGTAGGTGGTAAATTGTGACTAGTAATACTGTCCTGTAACAGTAAATTTTTTCTTGAAAAATGTCCAGCAAAAGTCAACACAACACTCTTAGAGGGCACCCAAGTGACTTCCTGATCTTTCTTAATGACCTGTCCATACTTTGGGTTTAAGAAATCTAAAGACCAATCAGTAGTGATATCTTTGAAAACACCACATCTGAATACTTGGAATTTTAGGATTATGGCAGAGTAATCTTTATTTTTAAGGAGAGTGTTGTCAACAAATGGCTATTATTCTATTTCTTCCTATAGATTTAAGCTCCCGGTTGACCGAGCTTTGCTCGGTATTTTTCGCTCGGTTTTTTTTTAATTCGTGTGTTTTGGAAATTATATTTTGATACGAATTACATATTGATGAAATACGAATAATATTTTTTGATCTTAGCGACATAATAGAAAAAACTGAACTGGTTATTTGAATAAAAAATCATGAGTGAAATTAGTTTAATTTAAATTTTCGTGTTTTTAAAAAATACTAAAAAAAGGGCTCGAAAAAATAGATTTTCTCAAAAAAAGAAAGGAACTTGAAAAAAAACCTTTTGTGACCGCCCAATATACCAATTAAGCTATTTGTAATCATTAATAAACTGTCAAAATTTACCTTCTGGTTCATTCACGGACAAAAAGACATTTTCTAAAAATAAATCCTAGCTAGATCGATTTATTGCCCCCGAAACTTTATGAAAGCAAACAAAATTTTATGAAAATCGTTGGAGCCGTTTCCAAGATTCCGATTATATATATATATATATATATATATATATATATATATATATATATATATATATATATATATATATATACAAGAATTGCTCGTCTAAAGGTATAGGATAGGATACAACCATCTGACAATCCCTTTACATTATTTTTAAGAAAAAATTGTGCAAATTAAAACAATTTTATTGGGAGTCCAGTAGCAGCAGGATCTGATTCAATTTTAACATGTACGGAATAGAGCATACACCCGGTTCTAAAAAAAAAGCCGGGTATACCCGGTTCCTTGTTAGCTAAAAGAACCGGGTCCAAAATTATGATACACGGTTCTTATTCAATGTGGTAAATTTAAGCATTTTTTTTATTTGACTCTTATGTTACGGTTCATCACTAAAATATTGAAATAAAAGATTTGACCAATGAAAAGCAACTGAACAGAGAACTAGAGAAAGTTTTGACAGGGATGAACGGTGACAGTGCTGTTTTAGATGACAGTCTCAAGGTTACCATTAAATTTGACCTTTTTTTGAAAATGGTGGATCAAGAGGTCACTATCTCACAGCAGCTTTTGATAATTTATAGACGTGGGTGGACCACAAGTGTCGAGCCGGAACACATATTTTCTTCCTTAGAATTTATCTGCAATCGTCTTCGGTCCTCATTAAACGATACAAGCTTAAACGTTCTCTCATTTTTATGCTCTTATTACGATAATAAGAAAGACAGGAAGTGTGGATTGTGACTAAATCTAATTATTTTTGTTTGTTTCATTGAATAAGAAATGGAGACAGTAAGAAATTGTTGATTTTTTTTATTATTACCAGAAAATCCTGAGACAGAAAATAAATCTCGTTGATTTTGTTTTAAGCTATTGCATAGCTTCTATCGCGGGCCTTGAGCGCGGGGACCGAATCCAGAAATTCCGTAACGAAAAAAACCTCACGCTCCCCACTCCGACGGGCACGGAGGTGTGGCGTTGAAAGCCGTGCATCGTCTAACGTCGTTTCAGTTCGGCAGACTTCGGCACTCGGCAGACTTCGGCACGGTGTTTGTGTGCGTGTACACTAGCTGCTAACTCAATGATAAAAATTCCTGAATAACCTACATGTATTGTAAGATATTAAAAATATTTTAAACAATATTAACTTCTCATTTATTCAATAAGAGAAAAAAAATTGTTTTCTAATCGGTCACCACGCTCAAAAAGTATAACTTGATTTAATATCAAAGACTTAACTGCATAAATAAAATAAATAAATAATTATAATTGCATAAGTTGATAAAAAATGCTATGCAATAGCCTTACCGCGGCAGTCACCGAGTGCCACACGTATTTTCTTTGGTTTTTTTCGTTCATTGATTTTTTGAATTGTTTTTCTAAATTATATTTGTGCTTGTATGAAGCTCAGAAGACAAGCTGGTTTTTTTGTTGTTTCATATATAGATAATTTTATAATTATATTAGAATTATATAAAACAATTAAACACATTTAATTGATTAAATACACATCACTATCATCATTAGCACCAAATTAATGTGGTTTTATTTTGCCCTAAGGAATTTTATACTACTAAG